CAAGATCTCTATCAACTCATCATCGAGCATCTGTATGCAATCCTTCTTCTACTCTCTTCTTACTTTTTTTCTTGTCCTCTTTATTTTCACGCGCAAATTTTGATAAAAAAAATTATTTTTGTCAGTTATTGCGAACGTTTATAACATTATTGCATATATCTGTTGTAAATATTATCTATTATGTGTTTGCATCTGTGAAATCGCTATAAAATATTTATCACAAACTAATTTTTTTCCTCTCTTTTCTTAATTTTGTTTTCTTGTAAAAAGAATTATTTTTTTAACAATGCAATGTGTTGCACATTTTTTTTATTCTTTCCTTTTTTTATCTTCTCTGTGTATAGCTTATTTTTATTGTTTAATATAAATAAACGGAATAGATTTTGTCTTTTTCTCTATCCCTTTTATCTCTTTCTCTAATAATATATAATTATTAGTAGATAATGATAAATGTATTGAATATTTTTAAATTTTTAATTAAGGAATTAATTTTTCTTGCCGTAAACATCGCAAAGAAAATCTTTAGTCGATTTTAATCCAGTTTTCATCTTTTATATTGAAAACTGAAAACAGATTGAAATATAATTTAACAGTCAAGAATACTCAAGTTTGTGATAGTTTTTTCAATAGTTCTTTCGTTATCATGTTGAAATAAAGACTTTCTACGCCGAGACAATATATTGCGTTGCATCAACATCTCCAGATTACGATTGCAATTACTTACAATTGTGATTCATTTATTCATCGTTTTCTATTTCAAATATATCTCATATTGTGTGGAAAAATATATATATTTAAATAAATCGTCAAGATAAAATAAAATCTAAAAAAACATTGCATAAAATAATAATTTTTTGTTTGAATAAATAGTAGATAAAACTGTGCATTTAAAATTATTTATTACTTCATTTTACTATCATCATGCAATTATCATAATTTTTGCGCTACTTGAATAAGCACACAGTTAATAAATTGAATATGCTTTTACTGTAACATAATGAATACATATGTTAATTAATTAAACATGAGAGCGATAGCTAATCATTTGCATTCTATCTCTTTAGCATTAAGTCCTCTAGTGAAACGACGGACAAAAAATGGAGATGTTGGTCGCGAAAAGCAAAAGAAGTAAGCACCGTACAACTCGCAAAATTCCTTTTCATTTGCATTATTACGGTAATGAGACTGAAAAGCCGGAAAATGTCGGGCTTTTGTCAGAGGGATTGTCCGCCTGGTCCATTCATTGATTGCGTCGGTAGACGGGGTATACGCGGCACATAATATCTCAGCCAAACCACCCTAAAGATAATGAGTAGTGAGCTCTGCCTTTCTATTTGTTGCTCTAAATATTTCGATATAGTTGAATATTTGATAAATTACATTGATTTCCTTTATATTATTATAATAATATAAGATGCAATTATGCATCATTAGTTTTAACGTTCTTATTGACATGATTTGCTAAATGTATTATAATTAATTAATATACAAAAATATTTAATTAATTATAAAATTTATTAATTAAAATAAATAGTTAGATTAATTATTAAATTGAATTGCAAGGATTACAAAACGGCTTATATATACAATATATTCCATAAAAGTACTATAAAAAGATTTTAAATCTCAATAGATTTCCAACAGAATTTAATAGATCATTATATGAATAATTTTTCTTAAATCTTTTTAAGTAAAACAATAAACATGTGAAAAAAGTTTTTCAAGATCCCGCTCTATTCTCTAAAATGTAAAATACGAAAAAAAGAATATTTCTAAAGAA